TAATGCTAATAATGATAATAAAATGGCGGCTTCACAAACGTTTTTGGGAGTTTGACGGGGCGTGGTTTGCATTCCGCCCAGCCAATCAGACACAGGAACCTTTTTCTCCCACGAAAGTCCCTGCTCTCTAGCAGGGACTTTCTCTAGAACTAATTTAGTTCCTGGGACTTTTTTGTGTGAACGCAACTAAATCGTAGTTCTCAGGAACCTTTGTGGGAAAAGTACTTGGTGTGAACACGCCTATTGATTAGGGCAAGCGTTTCCACCAGGCGGGCGTCTTGCTCGGAACGCCCTGAACTCGAGCCGAGGGCGTCCAAAAAATAATAATAATAATAATTCGAGAGAAGATCGAGAATTTTTATCGCTTGAAATGACGAAAAGGAAAAGGGACCATGACATCCCTCTGTTGGAGGGGCAAAGGAGTCTGGTGGGATTATTTTCCAGCAAAGCGTGTCCGTGACGGAAAGTATACTGCCGGCAAGCCTTGGCGGGGGGTGATAGTAGAGCACGCGCGTGAACTGCGAGTGCCGGAGCTTCGCAGCGGCGAAACTGAGGCTCTGTGGTAAAATGAAGAGCCGTTTAGGAGCCGAAAGAGCCGGCTCTTCTTACTGACTAAAAAGGGCCGGAATTCCCATCACTAATACGTAAAGAGATAGTATCTATAATGGACGGCTCAATTTAAAATTCAAGTCACGTGACACGACGTCACACCACCCCCCCCCTTCGCTCTCGGGGTGGACGCCCTCTCAGCCCTGGTCTGGCAGAAACACTGAGTAGGGCTGCATGTTTTTGAAAAATAACAGACTTGTATTACTTTGATTGATATTGCAATTGATTCACAATATTGGAGGGATTATAATTAGTGCATTTTTATTCTAGAAACCATAGAAAGATACATGTAAGAGTATCTTTGCCGAATAAGCAGCCACCCAATACATTTCACCTGTTCCAGATACATTATGACAGTGTTGCAAAAGTCTGCAGGGGTGCACACATGCTGGGCAAGATACAATACATGTGCTTTATTCACAGTGTTGACCGATTTGTATTTGTATGTCACAGTTATTTTCTTAACCCCATATCCATCCACGCCCAGATTTAATCACCAGAAATGCAGAAATGTGGGACTGAGCCTTGAGGCATGTTGGCCATAATGGAATTTGAAACCAGAGTCATTCGGTGATTTTGATCTCCAACCACATATTGTTGGGTCTTTATTGGCCATCTTTCATTCCAGCCTAAGGCTATAAGCTGTGTTAGTTCTCAGACTGAGGAATGAAGCTTGCAGATGTCTAAAAAAAAAGAATAATTTATTCAGGGATGGTTTTCACATTTCATGGTAATAAAGAGAGCACAGATTAATCTCCAGAGTATTCAGTGTGCAAGATTAAAGAATTTATAGCGAAGTTCCTTCAAAGACAATAATTAAATGGTAGGAAATCAGGCCACATGGAGTAAGTAGTGCATGAAGAAGTCTGTGTGTTGTTCTTGGACTTCTGAGGTCAAGTATCCACAGACTTATGAACAAAAGACTTCATTTGATATTTTGTACCCACCATACTGTGACACATGTTTTAGTGCCAAGTTGAGTTTGCACCATATATGAAATGTGATTAGCCGGATAGCCAGACTGCATGTCCATTCTCTTACCAGTCCATTAGTCCGTTTCTCTTGGGGATGATTTGATTCTTCCCTAAACAAAAAAACTATTAATTAATTATGTTTTAGCTGCTCTGATATTTCCGATCTACTAAAGCAGCTTTAGCCACCGGGCTGGAAGCAAGCAATAACCTTACACTAACTTTTGTATAGAGAAGTCAATGTGAAGAACGTTTTTAATTCAAAGACAACACACTAGTTGAATATGGGGTACTGCAGAGCAAGGTGCAGCTGTGATAACATGGACAGAGATACAAGGCTGTGATTAATTCAATCCAAACAGATAATTAATTAATTAAACTATCAGTAAGGTGTATTGAAGACTGTGCCGGCTAAAACGTGTGGGTCGTTTAGTCACATAGATGGTAAAGAAGTAGTTGTAGTTACAATTCCTCGCTATCACTCTATGTTGGCCATCTTTTAACCATTTTTCTACTGTCATCTCACAAGAACCAGGCATTAAATCAAAGGTTTGCTGTGAAAATGTGACAAAAGTGGTTGAATATGCAGAATTTTAACTGCAGCTCATATGCAATAGTCGTGGAGTATACTACCATTTGTTTACAAACCAACACAGGGTATGCTAGCAAAGCTTCTCTCACCAAAAAGAGTGAATAACCATATTGTCATTATGCTATACACTCTACATGCGATGTAGTCTTCATGAGCAGGGATAACAATTGAGGATTTCCCTATCTTTGAACTTTTATTATATTTTGTGCTCTTTAGCAAAAATGTATATAACAAAAAAAATGCTAATTCTGCCTTGCAGCTATCACTAAAAATGTACTTCTACTCTTTAGCTTTCCAGTTAAAAGCAAGTGGAATATCTACTGAATACAGCGGGGGGGATACAGCCACAACATCACTCATTATCCCCACTCTGTTAGTAAGTGGGAGTCTGAGAAATAACAGAACATATCAAGCTTGGAATGCAACGCAGCTGGAACAGACCCTTGAAGGAATCTCCAAATGAAGCCTTTGGTTTCAGGGTCAGAGAGTGTACTCGATGCCAGAGCGTATATCGAGTGTGTGAAAATATGTGAGCAAAAAGCACACATTTGTCAAGGATCTTAATCATGTATACTGTTATGAAAGGTTTGAGCAAAAAGAAAAAAGGAGTCTGTGTGGGTCTAGAGCCAAAACCCAGTTTTCCTTTCAAATATTCAAATGAAATATGGTTTCCTAGCCAAAGTGAAAACCTGGAGGGTTTGAACATCAGGTCAGTCAACATCATCAAGAGCATTTATACTACATGCTGCCACATTTCCATCTATTAGGCTTTCGTCTGACGGCCAAAAGCAACAACAGCGAATATAACGTCTGCCATGACCCACATCCATCAGCCGTTAAAAAGACTTCAACGAGATATTTTAAAAGCAGGCAGACAGGTGAGAGGTCTGGAAGACGTCAACAATGAAAATACCTTATATCACCACTGGCTCAGCCTTTGTTTCTTCTACACCGCAGAACAATAGTGATGGCAGGAGTAGACTATCCCACACCCTTTACGCGGTTCAAAAGGAGAATATCTGACACCATTAAATCATTGACTCCAACAGCTCCAGCCCATTACGGCGGTTTAGGATGTGCTGAATAGCTGAACTCTGGCTGCTCTGAGAGGAGGAGACGCTCTTTTAAATCACACGCTTCGGTGAAAGGACAACGTTTGACAGGTAGAGCAGCAGCAGGCAGCTTTTAGCCGGAGTTAAGTCATTAAGGTC